TTCCTCTAAATAAAGATTTGATTACCAAATTTATTAGTCTGTCATTATTTTAATAATCAGTTAATCAGGATGAATCAGTTCAGCGTGTTTTCAGCTGGAAACCATCTGGGTTTAATAATTAGAGACGTTTTCTGTCTTTGTTCCACTAAAGCAGATAGATCTTCCTCCTTCACTGATCCGTTTTCTTTCCTGCTTTTTGTTCACTCAATTTTTCCACCTGCATTCCTGCTCCGTCACTTATTTCTATTCTATTATTTGGTGCATTTATAAACACATGATGTTTTCCTGTCTGTAGGTTATGAACTGGACCTGCTTTAAAACACACGACACTCCCAGAAGTTTGGTTTAGTCGTCGTCACAGTTGGGATGCAATTAACGATTATTTGTGAATAATCTTTCGATTAATATTCGGATAGCCAAAGGTCCCTTCCATTGTTTTGTTTTTTTAATCTTAATTGCAAAATGTTTATATATGGGGGCAAAAGTGGCTTCTGATGTAGGAGTTTGCCCTGAAACAGAAGGGTTGTCAGTTCGAGCCCCGGCTCTGGCTTTCAGTGTCGTTGTGTCCTTAGGCAAGAGGCTTCACCCGCATTGTCTACTGATGGCGGTCAGACGGCCCGGTGGCGCCGGTGTACGGCAGCCTCGCTTCTGTCAGTGAGCCTCAGGGCAGCTGTGGCTACAATGTAGTTTGCCACCATCAGTGCATTAATGGGTGAATGACTGAATATAGTGTAAAGCGCTTTGGTCACGACTCCTGAATTGAAAAGCTCTATAAAAGTACAGGCCATTTACCATGTTTTTTCTTTTTTTAACAGTTTTGGTATAATCATGGCTCTACATGGGTCGCTCTGTCAGCTAAAGGCAGGTTATAAAGTCTCCATTCTCCAGTTAACATTGAACCAATCACTAAATTAGTTGATGATTATTTCAAAAATGGATTAATCAGATTAATTGGTTCAGCCCTACTTCATCAGAAAACACAAAGTTAAGTGAAATCCAAATCTGAACCCAGAGAAACTGGAACGGCATCAATAACAGTGGCGGCTGGCCAATGGAGGACGCTAGCATGCCGTCCCCACCCACCCAATGACCCTGATTAAGATATAAAAAATATATATTTTTTATAATTTAATTTTAAATCAACATTTTAAATATTTCAATATATATTAATATGTATTTCTTAAACATGCAAGATACATACTTAATCTTTAATGACTAGTAAAGCGTCGTTCCATTTTATTGTCAGATTGATGACGTATTTCCATCCTGGGGCGCAAAAATCTTTGCCCATAGACTCTTGTTAGAAGTTGTCCATGCGCAGTAGCTCCTCTGCAATACGAAGGTATATACAAAGCAGAGCTGCGACCCGAGCTGACAGGAAGTGTATTTGCTAACCACCTCCCGCCACAGCGCAGACATTTTACAGGGGATTGACAGGTCGAGTGGCTGGAGTAAGATACGCTTAGGAGAGAGAAAAGGTGCAAGAAACGTCCTTTTCCAGGACCTGGTTTAGCTAACAGGCTAGGCTAACTGCATTTAGCGAGGCTAACACTTCGTTCTGCTTTCTCTGCCTCCTTTTTCAAACGTCAGGATCTGACCCAGCATGGATAAAAACAGGTAGGAACACATTAAACAATTAACATAATAACACAATAAACACAATAAAAACATTCTCAGAAAATACATTTTTTTTATATATTAAAAAAAATATAAAACTGACTAATAGCTTCTCCATTATTAAACAGGTACATTATTTTTTTAGGTTTGTGAAACAATATTGGACCATGAAAAACACTGATTTGCCTTCAGAAAGCCTCAGAAGGGCAAGATTTATGTAACAAAAGTACATGAAATTATGTTTTGTTTTAATAAAGTGTTTTACTTTAATGTTTGCATTCATATGAATATACTGGTGTGATAACTTAGTATACTATTAAGTTTGATTAGTTTTTGGTATACGTCTATTTTGAATTTATAGCCCCCCCCCTGGAGAAAACTCCACCAGCCGCCACTGATCAATAAGTGAACGAAACCTTCAGCAACAGTTAAATCAAAGCTTCCCACTGCTCAATAGCATCTACTTCTTTGGGATTTTCATGTTTTAAAGACTTTGAAAAGCTTTTATTTTCCCATCTGAAGATAAACTGCATTACATAAAAAGTTTTGTGACCCACAGATATATTTCTAGCCTCCCTCACAGGCCACCATACTTACGGGCGATGAAGGGGTCGATGTCCCGGACTTTAGTGGCCACATCAGAGGCACAGACCTGACCCACCTGGACCAACAGAGCTGCTACGTCATCATAGAGAGGAGGGAAGGCCTGACAGAACGCCACCAGGCAGGGCAGGGTGGGCATGAAGAAGGAGAAACGCTTGGCCCGGTTCAGCACTGCAAAGATCAACACAACGCTGCAGTAACAGCTAAACACCAGAGGGTGGCAGTCATCTACAAAGATCAGCCAGAGCTGCTGACCTGTTAGAAGGGTTCCCATCACACTGATGGCCAACCGGGCCACACTCAGGGATTTGGGTAAGGCGTACTGCGTACACAGGTAAGACAGCAACTGGATGGCAAAGATCTACGGCAAAAACAAGAGAGGCAAGACGGATGAATACAGGAGAGGATGTTCTGGAACAAAAGCAGGAGGGAGGCGTCACCTGCTTCTCCAGCTGGGGCTGAGCCAGCAGCTCCGGGATGAAGTCCAAACAGATATGGATGGAGGGGATGCCCGCCACGGCCAGAGGCAGCAGAGCCTGAGGGTAACCCTGAGCCGAGAAGAAAACATCCAACTTTACATGGAACCAGGAAAACTGTTCAGCAGAGCCAATGGACCAGGCTGCCATATGGCCGTGTGACGGCGCCGATTACTGACGCTGTGAGACAACATGGCGGCTAACGCAGTCGCTGTGACAAGGAGCTTCATTAACAGCTGCAGCAATAAATGTTTTTACTTTGACATATGGATTGAATTATTTTTGATTGCTGTTACAAGCAAAGAAAATATTTTGTAAATGGAAATTTGAAAAAAAAAATAAAAAATAAAGTTTCTCAGTAACTTTGCTGTTTTTGTAGATTTTTTTTCCCACAATATTTTGACATTTTTTTTAAATATTTGATTTATTATCTAAATGTTTTTCTTTTTGCAGATTTTGTATTTTCTTTTTTCTTTCTTACAGAAATGTATATTTTCTATTCTTCATTTCCAGATCTCTGTTTTTCAGATTGAGTAACGAATTTCTATCTTTTAAAATCGCAATTTAAAGATCAGATTCTCTTCCTCTCTAATGAGCAAAGATGCATTTCTATTGGTTTGCTACATTTTAGTCAATTGATTGAAGGGCAATTTGATCACTAAGAGGCCATTTGAAACAGACAAAATTCGCTAAACTCAACTTTAAAAAAAGGAGAAATTTTAAGCAATACTTTAAAATATAAAATCTTTAAAAAGTTTTTAAGAATTTTATTAGAAAATTTTTTTCATCTGAAAACACAAAATGCGTAAAACATTTTGGGAAAAATAAAATAGTCAAAATTAATATGAAAATCCAAATAATTTTAACAAAACCCAACCGTTAACTTTGAATTTTTTCATTAAAACCTTTCATATCTGCTTGCATTTCTTTCAAATTTCCATTTATAAAACCTTTATTTCCTTCAGCAACAACAGTTGACCAAAATGAACGGGACGGTTCTCTGAACGGCTGCTGTTTACCTGAAAGTGAACCAGCTTCGCAATGTTTGGGTCAGCAATGAACATCTGATGCAGGAGGCAGCAGATGAGGCACTGCACCTCCCTCAGGTCACTGAGCAGCCCCCCCTCTGGCTCAGCGTCTTCCACTCCCCCTCTATTTGGCGGCGGGAGGCTCCCTTGTTTCCAGTTTCCTGGAACGGGGCCCTGGTTGGTCCTCAGAAGGCTCCCTGTAGTGGCCCCCAGCAGCTGCTCCTTGGAGGTGGGCAGGCAGATCTCCAGGAGGATCTGGACGGCGGCGCTGTCCTGCAGCCACACAGACACAATCATAGTTGACGCTAACCCAAAGCAAACCGGATGCTCATTTATGAAACGAGTGTTAGCTAGCGAGCATGAAGACCTGCGCAGCCAGGAGGGCGTTCTTCAGCTCCTCTCTGGTGACCTCTGGGGTGTCTGGCTGACCAGGGACCGCCACGTTTGAAACGATCTGGTTCTGCCGATCGAAGTCGCCCGTCTCCTTCAGGTGACACTGCAGGTAGGCCTTGGAGGCCAGCAGGTATCCATTCAGCATGTGAAGGACGATGTCCATCAGCGGAGGACACCTAACAGAACAGAGACAAAACGCACACGTCTGTCCGTCCATAAATTCAGTTTACTATGGAGGTTTTTTTTACCATTATTGTCAAAAGCAAGTAACACACTTTGCAAATCGAGACAAATAAAGAAAAGCAACTTTTTAATAAAAAAATTGTTTGAGTTTTTTCTTAACATTCTATTTTTTCCAAAACAATATTTGTTTTTGAACATATATCTTTAAAGTCATAGGGAAGTGGCCGTTCTGACCGTTTCATTTCCGAATTCTCCCGAGTGGCGCCCGACTTTACACGAGTGAATAAAGTGAATGTGATTGGTCGATTATCAAGGAGGCGGGATTGTTGTAGCTGAAGGTTTGCAAGCAAGCTTTGTTGTAGCCGGTTTGTCAGAAGCATCTTGCTAACCAGTTAGCAACTTAGCGCTAGTAGGTTCCCAATGGGAAATTCCATTGGGACCAAGTAGCGTTAAATTGGTGTCTTAGAAACAACACTGTCAAGGAACGCTATGGACAGCGGAAACATGCAAGAGGAGGAGAGTTTAGTGTCAGAGGTGGTGGATGAGTCTCCTCTGTCATACATTTTTTATTTAGAGGAGGAAAGCGGGGACAAAAAGGTTGTGGAAGAGGACGCCAGGGCGGCAGAAGCTTGGTTTGGCTAACAACGCTGCCAGTTCTGTTAGCTCTACGCCTGCTGAAGACACGGACGTCCATCCCCGACGAACACTGGGACGGAACTCAATGGGAAAGGAAATGATTCTTATTTCAACTGTTGCGTATATTAGCTGCGAAATATGAATTAAGATGCTAGACCAAAAAAAAAAATTTGATTGACAGTTGACCGTTGATATATGATTGGCCGAATTTAGGTGTTCAGGCTGACGTATAACGGGGAAAAAAACAGATTTTCATAAAAATACAAATTTTCTAAATTTTGGGACAGTATCGTCTGATAAGGAGTAAATTTACATACATGTTTAAGCCAGAATGATTTAAATTTAAATATGACTTCCCTACGACTTTAAGTTTTATTTTTTCAGATTCTTTTCTTAGAATGTTTTAAACTGCCTTTGTTTCAAATTGCATTTCACGTTCTGTTCACTTCACATCCAAAGCAGCCACTAAAACTGCTCTTCCTAACGCCCAGCAGACCAATAGAAATGTGTCCTTGCTCCTCGCAAGAGGAAAGCCCCGCCCCCAGGAGTAAATTTTAAAACAATTTTCAAATTGTAATTTTTGTAAAACAAAATCTAAAAACCATGATATCAGTTTTCAGCTACACATGTTTTGCTGCTTTCTTCTAATTAATGAATTAAATAAATTAACAAAAAATAAAATCTGTAAAAAGAAAAAACATCTCAAAACCCTTTTTTAAAACATTTCCTAAAGTTTCCTTTCTGGTTTGCATTTTGTTTTTAAATGTGTTCTTTGCCTGAAACAATAATGGATGATAATCCGGTTGATAGTTCATCCTGTCTGAAGAGGAGCAACGCTTACCTGTACACCCTCTGATCACAGCGCAGAACGATCAGAGGATCGACCATCAGGTCGTTCTGAGTGTACCTCTGCTGTCGGAGCAGCTTCGCTGACGGCTGGAGGGCGTTTACCGTCATCACCCACAGCCTGAAACAGAGAGGTCGGATTTAACAGGCATGGAAAAACTGTAACCATGGAGCCAAACATCTACATGCTGCTGGTTAAAGCAGGAGAAATATGGAAGAAAAACAGTCTCATTGGAATCTGCCTTTTTTTTTTTTTACAACGATTTTTAAACACTGAATTTTTTTTAGACATTGAATTCCTTACACTCAATTTTTATCTGGTAATTTTTATCGCAAAAAATTCAGCCGCAAAAGTGTTGACCTTTTGGTGAACTCAAGCCAAAGCCATCTACACTCAATAGAGTTGAGCAGCTTCTAGCCGATGAAATTAGCTCATTTGGTCACGTGACACAACAGCTGCGCTCAGCGCTGTTCCTGGCTGTATGAGGAATTTTTTTTGTTAAACAGATAGAATTACAAAACGTCAGTTAGCTACTAACAGACAGCTATTCGTTTTTTCTCTTATCAGATTGGGTGAAACAACTGAGCCGATCACAGAGAGTACGGCACCACAGCTGTTTGCCGCCGCCATGTTGCCTCTGGCCGAAATCAAGAAGAAAAAAAGTTTGCCGCCGGCCGCTTCTTGCGGATCAAACCAAGAGCCTTGGCAGACAGGGGTGCCGTACTAGTTGTGGTCGGCTCAGTTTTGCAGCTGAATTTTTACCAGATAAAAATTGAGTGTAAGGAATTCAATGTCTAAAAAAATTCAGTGTTTAAAATTCGGTGATTCCAATGAGACTGTTTTTCTTCCATAGGAAAATCTAAATAAAATGAAAATAATTGCAATTCAGATGTTTTGTAAAATGGTTCAGCCCTGCATGAATCGAAGAGTTTGGAATAAATGGGAAGAAAAAAAGTAATTCATGTCTGTAGAATCTGAACCAATGAAGCAGCTTTAGCTTAACTCTGTGTTTGATACCAGGAGCCAAGAGAATCACAAAGGATTCATGTGTTTTTTTTATCAGCTGTAGATGTAGTTGAATATCTTATGCATAATAATGTTTAAAAATGTGATAAAACCCGAAGCCTATAAAAAACACTGATGTTCAGATAATAAATCAGTTAAAATGGGAAATTAGAAACAAAAAAAAGAAACTAAAAAGAAAAAAATTTAAGATCCAATATTATTAGACTGTAAAAAGGCTAAAGCTAAGGCTGAAACAATTCATCTGATTAATCGACACATTCTGTAATCTATTAATAACTGGAGTACAGAGATGCTAAAACATATTAGCTGACAGAGCGACTCACTCAGAGCTGTAGTCATTACAAAATTGTAAAAAAAAAAATAAAGTAAATAAAATAAAAAAGCATTAAAATTTAATCCTTTTAAAGTCCATCAATATCTTCTGTCCAGAAATTCCTCTTTTCTGAACCTTTTCCATCCAATTAATCAATTAATCATGATAATTATAGCTGTAATCTCCTCATTGCTCGTTGCTGTATTGAAGCTTCCAGTCTTAATAGATGTAAAGAATGTAAATAAACTCTTTTTATGTAAATAACTTCCCCGTTTGCTGAAGTTTCCGTGCTGGTCAGAGTGAGACAGACTGTGACCAGCAGGCCGTCCTGGAGCGCAGAGCCTCCATGCTCTGTGTGCGTTCCCATCAATCAATGAATCAGTGTGAAATCTGACACCGCTGCCCTCCTCCCTGCTTCACCCCTTCGCTCTCATCTCTGAAAACACTCCACATGAGAGGGAGCAAGCGAGAGGCTGAAGTCGGCAGGGAGTCGCTAATCTCTAACATCTCCTTCGTGGAGAGTTTTCCCGCCCTGAGCTCTTCTTGTTCCAGGCTTGCCTGGGATCGATAGGTCTGCTCGGAGCTTAGGTAACCGTGTTCCTCAGAGCCCCGGGGCGCTCTGAGGGTCACCCTCATGTAAGCAAGCAAGTCCACCCACGCCGACAGAGCTGCTTTGCTCAATACCGATCTATTCACACGCCGCGAGCATGGAGGAACTTAAGAGCAACCGCTTCTGCCCTGCAGGTTTCGCTCTCACCCTTTCACTCCTTGGAGACAGAAAATCAGGTCATCATCAATCTTTTAGCTTCACAAGAGACCAGATTTAGTTAAACTCTGCAGGTCAGGCAAGTAAAAAGAAGCTTATTTAGAGTGGAGGACTTTAAGCCGGAGTAGTAAGATGACATCACAGCATCAAACTGGATTTTTTAGTATGAATATAATGCACAGTTTGTCTATTTGAGAAGCTTTAACCAAATGAAGCCCGGATCAGAGCCTGTACCTGCGGGGCATCACAGTGTTGAGGCCCATCCAGAGCTTGTTGAGGGTCTGCAGCAGCCGTCGGGGCACGCCGGGCTCCAGCAGCAGGGCCATGCTGGCGGTGAGGGCCTCCGCGTAGGGGATCAGGTCTCCAGGAGAGAGCAGGGTCAAATGCTCCAGAATCCGCATGAGCCTGGGACTGCTGGAGGGCAGCTTCTGGAAGGCTGGAGGAACGAGAGGTTGCATTTTACTTCCAGATCAAGAGCTACTTCAAAGAAGCTTTTAGAGCTGAAAGCCCATTGCGTTCAGTTACAGCTTAGAGAAGGAGAGGTAGCCGAAAGGTTAGGGAGGATGGACTGAGCTGCTTAATCATCAGTCTTGCCTTGGTGCAGCTGGCTCTGGGTGTATCTGCAGGTATTGCTGGGAAGCATCATCTTCCTCAGGAGGGGCAGGGTGCCCGTCACCTCCTCCTCACACACCCAGTCCTCCACGAGGCACAGGTGGGGGTAGTTGGTGGCCAGGAGTCTCAACAGTGCAGAGTGCAGACCTGGAAGCAAGTCATTCAACTTTTCAGAAAGCAAGTTACACTGCAAAAAATGTCAATCTAACTAAGTCAATTTAGGTTAAAACAAGCACATTTTTCTTGAATTGAGAAGAAAAGAGACCCTTTGCCAATAGAATAAGACAATTTTCATTTAAAATAAGAAAAAGAAAAACTGCAGTCTCTTATTTGAAGCGCATAAAATTATTTTAAAGGTAAAAATGCTGATTCCATTGGCAGATAATCTCATTTTCCTACTCAAATTAAGGGTAAATACACTTATTTTATGAAATCTTTACTTAGTTTCATCAATAGAAATCTAAATAAGTCATTTTTTTCTTAAAATAAGTGCATTTTTCTTTAATTGAGGGAGTAAGTGAGACACTTTGCCAATGGAACAAGACAATTTACATTTAAAAACAAAAATAAAAAACAACTGCAGTAAAAAAAATCTCATACCATAGGCAATCATCTTATTTACCTACTCACATTAAGGGTAAATATACTTCCTTTCTGAAATTTCTAGCTCTTTTTTGCAGTGTAACATTTTACACAACATTTTGACCAAAAGTTTATGATTTTTATTTGACTCATATGACTTCAAAATTCCACCTTTCCTTTGCGTGGAGGACGATGAACCGGGTGAAGAAGTTTTAAAGTTTTCTCTTCCATTTCAGATGGGCTTTGCAGCTGCTAGCTCTATACGCAGTGGATTCTATTCTATTTCATTTTTACTACTTTACTTTTTTACAGGAAAGTATTTTTGATTTACAAATGTTATATCTTTTAAATTTAGAATTTTCAGATTGAGTTTTATAAACTATATTCTTTTCACGCTGCATTTTACAGATCACATTTAAGTGGATGACAGAAGATTAGAGGGAAAGAAGAACATAAGGCTTCTGGTTGGAGGCCGAGTCAAATCATTCCAAGCTCAACACAAGCTGATGCGCTCATTGGCCGACACAATGTTGGTGCTAATCTACATTCAGACCAAAAGAAATGGGTTTTCACTCTTCAATCCAGAGGAAGCCCGCCCCACAGAAGAACGGTGATCAGTTTGAAAAGAATGCAATTCCTAAAACTCAATCTAAAAAATAAAAATCTGTAAAACAAAATGAAAAAAATGATAAAAAAGTGAAAAATGTAAAGCAAAGTTGCTGTCAAAACGGCTGCTCAGTGGAGCAGTGGGTAGCAATCCCGGCCCGGCTCTTTCTGCATGGAGTTTGCATGTTCTCCCCGAGCATGCGTGGGGTCTCTCCTGATACTCCCGTTTCCTCCCACAGTCCAAAAACATGGCTGTTAGGTTAATTGGCTTCACTAAATTCTCCTTAGGTGTGAGTGTGTGTGAGAATGTTGTTTGTCCTGTTTGTCTCTGTGTTGTCCTGCTATGGACTGGCGTCGTGTCCAGGGTGTACCCCTCTTTTTCGCCCTCATGTCCCTCCATTGTTGCACAAACTTCCTCACAGCCTCGACCGTATCTAGACCCCGTCTTGCTCCGATTCGACTTCCTCTGAGCTCAAGGAGAGCATGCAAAATATTCTTATTTATTGATAGGAACATAACAAGCAGAAATTAACACTTAATATAATGTGACATATTAAATAAATCCCCATCAGCATCCAGCATATGTTCAGTTTCTGCCCAAATATTTTCTTTTTGTTGTGGATTTTTGTAACAGGGATAACTAGGATCAAATAAAATTGGTTTGTATGAACTATGTTTGCTCTCTGCTTCAAAATGCATCTCTTCATCCATGCGATAAGAAGTTTCTTTTGACTGCATTTGATTGAACTTTTTAACCTCTTGGTATAAAATAAATATTTTGATGAAAATAAGAAATCTGCTTCCTGGTTTAATGAAATACCGATAGTTTGCATTCAATAATCTAAGGCCCCGTCCACACGAAGCCGAACCCTGGCCTAAACGCACAAATTTTTCACCAAACCAGCCTCTCATCCATGCGAAGCCGGCGTTTCGGGGGTCTGTAAACAATCTTTTTTTTAATCAGCCTTCAAAGTGGGAAGATTTTGAAACAACGTTTACGCGTTTTCATCTTTAAGCTCTAACCGCATTTTTTTTCTTACACGCATGCGTCATAGCGTCGCCTCTAAACACGCATGCGCGACACAGTATCACAACAACAATGGTGCCGTACTGTGTTGAATGGTTGCTGCTAATGCTACTCACCCTGCTGTCGGGCTTACAACAGAATCTTCTTCTTCTGGAATATCTCCAGGAAGAACAGAGCAATATCGACGACATAGTTCAGCACCTGAATTTGACTGAACCACGAAAATGGACCCGCAGGGCAACCATGTATAAATATTAGTGCGCATGCCCAACATTTCGTCGCCTATTTTTGCTTTGGCACCACAGCGCCACTTACAGGCCTGGCATACATTTTGCAGCGTTTTCATGCATTCGTGTGGACGATCACATTTATATTACGTCTCTGTCTTTACGACAAACGTTCTGGAAAATATTAGCGTTTCGTGTTCGTTTTGACTTCGTGTGGACGGGGCCTAATTTAATGGCCTCAGTTTAGGGGAATTTATAAGAATTATGCTCTTATCTGTAGTTACCAGTCCATCGTTACAATATTTTAATTTGACAAACCGGATCTTTTCTGCTTTCTTTTTCCTGTTTGGTGCGATGGCAATTTCGGATATCAACCTGACCGGACAGGAACTGAGCAAAAAATTGCTTGGCTCCGTATTTTGACAGTGAAGGACGGAGAAGACAAACGTGGACTGTGACGTGCGGAGGAGTAGCGGTGGAGGTGGAAAAGTTCTCATTGACTAACATGACAGACAAGTAATCCGCATGACATACATGAGCTGGGAAGAGCGGCGACGGAGCAAGTTGAATCTGGGGGTTAGCGGGTCGACCCGTGTTTGAAGAACCCGCTTTAACGCTGTATTTTCAATGGGAAAGAGGTTTATAACTGCAGAGATCCGCATTTAATTTAAATTTTTTCTTTATTTAGGTTTTTTCCATTCTGCTAAAATAGGATCTCTGCCTTGTTTTATCTGCTTATACTGTGGTTCTAAAAGAGAAATTGTATTTTTCTAAACTGCAGGTAAAAACAAAGTTCTAATCACTGCATAATCACACCCATTTAGCCTAATGAATGAAGATATCAGGATGGAGACTCACCCCCCAGCTCCTGCTGCAGCCCCTGGGCCTGAGTAACCAAGTACTTAATAGGGATCTGGTCCATTAGGGCTGCAGAGTAAGACTTTGGCTTCCTCTGCATCAGAGCTGAAAACAGAGAGTAGAACAATGAAAACAGGAGAAGAAGAACAAAGGTTTTCCTATTGGTTTGTGAAAGAGCACTAAAGCTGCTGCGTTGATGAGTTTAAGGAATTCAGAAGTGATTTTTCTTTGACGTGGGTTCATTACCACTCTGATGGGCTTCATTACTCCCTCCTCGAAGGCTGTGGGACCACTTGGGTAAGCACAGCAATTAAAGAGATGGGCATAAACTCTTGCATAAATCTGGCCTAATGAAGGGCGAGAGGAGAGCCTGTCATGTGGGAGAAGAAACACAGACTAGGCGGCTTAATCTAGCCTATGTGTGTCCTAGTTAGCCGTGATCCCACAGCCACCGGACTTGGCTGTTTGTCAGCCCTCCATTTACTCTCCATGAAGCCGCCAACACTCAGTGCCAAGAGAGAAAGAGATGAATGACTGCTCATCCACAGTGAAAGCTACTTCTACAACATTAAAGAGGACAATAAGCTTCCTTCCTCCTCCTGATGTCTGACTAATTCCCTCCAACCAACATAAACCACATTGTTCTGTGAAAGAAATGAGCCTGGATGTTTTCAGACGGGCGGGAGCAGAAGTGAGGTCTTACCCAGCTGTTTAGTGCTAGCCAGCAGGTTCTCTTCAAAGGACAGGATGTAGTAAAGGATGAGCAGCTGGGTGGTGATGGAGTGGCGCTGGCGTCCTCCTCGGCTGCAATCACTCTGCTACTCAACACAGAAAGAAAGAAATACCAAGCCAAGTTCGAGTCACAAAAACTGAATTTTTTTTTGTATTTATTCATTTAACTTTTATTTTAGCAGGAGAAAAAAACAAAGATTTGGAATCTCTTATGTCCGAGTGCAAACAAGGCATCTCATTAACATCAACATTATTCATAAAAGAAACAGTAGCCTTGAATTATTAAAAGCTTAAGCATAAAAAAACAACTAAAAGTAATACACTTTAAAAATATAATTGATTAAATGTTAAGCCGGGCTTACACTGAATGATTTTTTTGCCCTTTTCGGGCCGAATCTCCAGTCGTGCGAGAATTTTTGGCTTGGGCCGACTTTCAACCTGATTGTGCGTCGTGTACAGGGGGTAATGAGGGATGATCAGCCTCTCAGGACCGCCTCCCAATCAGGAGTCGTGAGGTCGGGAGAAAATCAAACAAGTTTGAAATTCAGGCGGCCGTCGTGGGCAAATCGTTCAGTGGGCAAACAAGGATTCTACTTCTTCTTCCTCTCCGATAAAAACGCAGAAACATGCCTGAGGTGCGAGTGAAAGGGAGTTCTTCCTGTAAAATTGACAGACCGTAGTAGCCACGTTTGATCAGCCGTGTATTCGTCCAAATACGTCATCGCCTTTTCTTTTTTGGGCTTTCAGCACAAAACTGCTCAAATTGCCAAGGCAGCGCGTTTCACTCTAGTGAGCTTCATATTTAACAGAAGGCCTCCACACTGCCGTCTTTTTTTCTTCTACTCGTTTGG